GAAAAAATTTTGGTGCCAGGTTTCATGCTTTGTTTATTGGTAAAAATAGGGGTATTGTCTTTTCAGTTATGAAGCCAAGAGGGAGTTTGTCAGTAATGTAAGTTTGGTGAAATTTTTGTATAAAGTCATTACAATTATAAATTTGGGTGTTATGTTCTGCTGCTAGTATATCTAGGGTTTAGTTTAGTATTGTGTTTAAGCTATTTAAATTTGCTAGGTAGGTGATTCAATGAGAGTCATCTTCTTTATTGGTAAAGCATCAGGGGCATATTGGGTGAGATATATAGATGGGTGTTGTATGTATAGGTTTAAACAGTTTGGAAGTTCTTGCATTAGTAGTTTGCATTTGAAGTTTTTAGTCTTGAATATGGAGGGGTCAGTTGAACAGAGCCAAGGTTTGTCATTATATTGCATATATTTGAAGATGAGTTTCTATATTATGTCATAGTGTTTGGACCAATTGTGTTAGATTTTGTTTTGTTGAGCCCAAGTATGAATATTAATTGCTAGATGAATTTTTTGAAAGGTTGATTTTAGGTTATCAGAAGTAATGTGATAGTTGAAGAATAAGGTGTATATATTGTAAAGAAGGGTGAGTGGGTTGATTTTAATTTTGATAATGTTAGTTGAGGTGGTGTTGGTCAGGGCTTGTATTTTTGAGGTGCGGATAGTAATATATTTTATATGAAGAGCTTTTCTAACTGCCAAGTAGTAATAATAATTGTTAGTTTTTTAATATTGTTCATTAGCAGTAAGGGCAGTGACAGATATTACGTAATATCCTAGGGGGGGGTACCTAGAGATGATATTATATATATATTTTATATATGATCATATATGACGTAGGAGGGAGGGGGGTAGCCCCCTTGATAAAATGATATTATGTAATATATGTCACAGCCCTAAGGGAGAGTGGTGTAATGGAGGAGATTAGTTTTGTAATATTGTTTGAATTTGTAAATAATGTGATTGTTGAGTTGGTTGGGATTAGGATGAGTAGGATGAAGAGAGCACAATATGCTATTTTTTGGAGGCTGGGCCAAGTTTTGTTTTGGAAGAATAATTGTTGTGAGAAGTAATTAAAGGTTAGAGTTGTAGTTGGGCAAGAATAATTAGTGGTTTTATGGGATCTAATAGTGATTGTTGTATTGAAATTTTTATTATTTGGGAATTTAAGGTAGATAGACTAGAGGAATTCAGAATAATCATTGATGGCTTGAATTAGGTTGTATGATAGTTTGTGTGATTGTAGTATGTAGTATTGGGAGTGTTGTATAGGTTTGTATATTGGTTTGGGTTTTTCAATGAAGTCTTGATATTTGTATTAGCAATATTTTGAATCCACTTGGATGTCGAATACTAGGTTGTGTGTGGTCCAAAAGGAGCAGCTAGATGTTTTGGTAGTTTTATCATAAAGTAAACAGCACTTATAGCAAGTAAGAATATTGTTATTAGCAGTATACCAGTATTGGATTTTTAGTAGGTTCTCTGTAGTAAATATGATTTTTTCAATAGTAAGTTGGGGTATTATGATCTATTTATGTTTTGAATGTTTGGGATGTGGTCTCTAGGTGTAGGGATTAGGTTGTGTTAGATTTAAGAATAGTGTAGTTGTAGCTTGAAGGGCATCTTGGAATATTGTACACTATTTTAGGCTTTTTTCTCAAGGTATCTTTTGGATATTGTGGTAAAACTTAGTCTATTCCAGAAACTTTAAGTTGTTGTAGTTAGTGAATTGTTCTATATTACAGATTTTGTGTTGGTTTAGTTATTTTTTTATTAGTATATGGTTGTTAATATGTTGTAGAAGGGTATTGATAGAGTGTTCTGGTGACTAAATAGGGATGGGCTATGGGTTTGCTGATTTGTTATATTGGATATTGATCATGTAGGCATTTTGAATAAGATGAGTAGTAAAAGTTTTGTATTCTATATTAGTGAATTTAGTAAATTGAGGCTTATGTGTGAAGATTGATTAGTTAGTATATGCATCGTTTTGTAGCTATTGTAGGTGGATATTAAAGATAGAAGGTGTTAAGCTTGAGTTTAATAGGTTATTGAGGATAGTTGCATGACAGATTTGTTGAAGTTGGTTAATATTAGTTAGAGAGTATAGATATAGGAGGAATAGTATAGAGTTGGGAGTGGATTTTGAGAGAGTTTATTTTAACTTGATAATGTTTATGCAGTATCTATTTAGATGGTTAATGTTAGAGTTGGTAAGGTAGGTATTAGAAAGAAGGTAACAAAGTCATGCTAGAAGGACTAAATTTATAATATATATAGCTTGTTTTTCAGTAATATGAGTGTATTTTAATTTGTTTAGCTCTAGTAAGAATTTGTACTTAATTTGACAGATAGTAAATTTATTATTAATAGTGTGGTCAATAAGGACTTCTAGAAATCTGAATGTAGTCTTTGGTGGGAGGTTTTGAATTGGTTGGTTTTGAAAAATTATAGGGGCTATGTCATTTATATTGTTATGAAGGAGTATAGATTTGAGAAGATTGATAATAATTTGTGCAAGATTGTAAAAGGATAAAGCAGTATTGAGTATATGTTTAAGGGTGAGTCTATTGTTGGCGATCCAGGTAGTGTCATCCATGAAGGCTTTAACAGATATTGAGGCAGTAATGGGATTGTGTCCAGTAAAAGGTTGTGTAGTCATTAAATAGCCTTGGTAGTGTGTTGAAATTTGGTGTATTAACGAGTCATAGTAGATCCACCATAGAATTAGTAATATTGTTTTCCCTTGGTCGAGTTTATCTTAAACAGGGTATAGTGAGGTTTTTCTGAGAGAAGTAATGACTTGATTGGAGTAGAAGGAGAGTATGTTGGTAATTAGGTAAATGAATTCTTGAGTATACAAATACATTTTAGAGCTTTTTAGAGCAAGGTGATGTAAACAGTATCATAAGCTTTGGACATGTCTTGTGATATAATCTAAAGCTCTTGTTTTTGAGTATGGGTATTGTATAGGCTAAATAGTAAAAGTAAAGTGAAGTGCAATATTGTTAGAAGGGTCAAGGATATTATGGACTGTAAGAATTTGGTTTAAATGATTTATCAGGATTTTTGTAAAGATCTTCCAGGTGTGTTCGATTAGGGTGATAGGTCATGTTTTGCTAAGGTCTCCAGAGAGGTAGCCTTTTTTTGTAATAGGCCAAACTAGTTCTTTGTGCTAGTGAAAGGGTATATACTGTAGTTCTAAACAACTATTAAAGATATATGTTAATTGTAAAAGAGCTGATTGGGTAGTTTTTTAAGCATTTTATTAAAGATAAGTAAGGGTCTAGTAGCTTTATAATTTGGTGATGTATTGATTGTGTTTCTTGTTTCTTCTATACTTATAGAGACTATTAGCACATTGTAAGCATTTTTGGGAATAGTTTGAAGTGGTTGGTAGTGTAGGTCACATTCTTTCCAGTATGCTAAGTTGGGGATTATATTTGGTCCAGGTTTGGTAGTATTGTTTGGTTGTGTCCTTTATCTTATTTGGTTGTGTTATAATACTTGAAGAGATCATGATATTGGTGAAGGAAACTGGGGTTTGATTACGTTTTAGTATGCTATTGATTATAAGTATCATGTTTGAGACGAAGTTATTGTATTGTTTGGTTATGTTGGCCTAGATTGTGGCCTTTTTCTGAGCATTGTTTTCCAGGTTATGAGCTTGGTAAAGTGCTTTGTGTAGTTCTTTTATTTGTTTGATGGTTAGTGCAAAGTGTTGGCTTTCAAGGTAGAAGAGATAGAGTAATTGTGTTGAGAATTGGGTAAGAATTGTGATTTGTTATAAGGTAGTATTTATATCAAAAGATATGGTTAGAATAGAGTAGAGTGGAGGGTTGTGTAAAAGTCAGATGACATGGTTTAATTTTTTTAGGGTATTGTTGAGTGTAGTGGCTTTGTATATATGTGAGTGAAAGTTATGGGGATAGGAATAGATTATTGGTAAGTGTGTATCAGCTGCTTGTTTAAGAATGTTGCAGAAGTTATTTCAGCTCTTATTGAGATTGGTTTTATCTGGGATTGGTTGGAAAAAACGTAAAGAGGCAAGTAAGTAGGTAGAAATAAACTGGGCAAAATTTTCCTATTGTTTATTAGTAGTTTTCTTGTATTGGTAGATTTTGCGAAGTTGTTTTTTGGTATAGGAGGCTTTTTGAAGTGTTATTGTTTGCTATGAAGTACTTAAAATTCCATGATCACTATTGGTTGATAAAGAGGGGTTGAGCAAGAGTGGTAAGATAAAGGAAAATGCAATTTCTGGGTTAACCCAGAAGTCATCGATTTGGCTTGAGTAGGGGTTTCCATACCAGGTAGGTTCTTGTAAATTATGAATATCGAGTAGACTAATGAATCCAATACTAGCTAGATAGTGAATAAGAAGGGCATGGTGGTGGCAGTTTGCACATTTGATGTTATTGTTAAAATCTCTAGCGATAATAAAGTTAAAGCGTTGTAAGTATCTTTTGCTTATCTAGCAGATTATTTGGTCTTGGGCTTTTTTGGATTGTGTAGTAATGTTGGATGCAATTAACCTTGTGTGGTTGTTCGAGGGTAGAAAGAGATCAATAAGAAGTGCAAAGCCAGAAATTGTGCTGATGTTATGAATGTAGGGTTGTAAGGAGTGGTTGAGGCTAATAGCTATTCCCATACAGGTTTCTCTAATATTGGTGTTGGATGTATCACTGTTTGCTGTAAAAATTTTAAAGTGAGAATTGATTAATTAGGAAGGGTGGTTTGATGATTGGGATAATTTGGTTTTGGTTATGAAAATTATATCTGTGTTTAAGTGATGGCATTCTTCAAGCCATAGTTGGAGTTTAAGTAGTTGATTAATGCCTTGAACATTATGATTGATAATATTTAAATATGTATAGTTAGATTGAAGAGGTGCGGTAGATGGATGTTTGGTTTGTAGAAGGGGGGTAGGTGTGTAAGGCAGTTGGTGGGTTATTATTAAAGTCAGTATTGTTATTGTTTATTGGGAGGAGAGTGGATCAAGGATAGTTGTGTTGATGTGGGTTTCTTAGAATAAGTTTAGTAAGAGTTAAAAGATAAGTAATTATCGAAAATATTCCATTCGGGTTGGGTAGGTCTGGGAATTTAAATAGGTAGTAAGAGATAGTAGTGAGAGTGAAGTGCTTCTTGATTTTTGTGAGAGTATCTAGTGCAGTTTGATGATTATAGAGAGGTACGAGAGATGTAAGAGTAGGGTTTATTTGGTGGAGTTGTTCTTTAAGTTCGTTTATATTTAGAGAGATAGATGGTTTGTCACTGGTTATGCTTTTATTTTTGGGTTCAATCTTAATCCAGTATGCAGGGATTTGTGAGAAGTAGTAGTAGTTTCAGAGTTCTCTGGCAATATTAACAAGTTGTTTAGAGGTGGTGATTGGGTTAGTAAGATTCATTTTTGTAATATTTTTTGAATCCTCTAGGAGTATTGGTTTATTAGTGAAATTTACACTCATATATTCTGGTGAGAGAGGAAGATTAAAGCTATAAGTTTCTTGAATTTTATTTAAAAATAATTTTGCTGTATTGGTATTGTTTATAGGAAAAGTGTATTGATATTTAGTTTAGATATCTTCTGGATTAGCTAGAAGATGGGAGGTTTTGATAATATAGTCATTTGGCAGTTTTTTGAAAACGAAGTGTGGGCATAAAAGCTCTGCAAATTTCTTCAAGTCTTTGGGTTGTGATATTTTATAGAAGAAGTAGTGCCGTAGATTAGATGGAAGTTGTTGTGGGGATAGTAGAAGTGGGAGTTTGGGTTTTGGGGGTTGAAGTATTAAGGAGGGATTTGGTCTATTTTGTATATTTTTTTTAGTTTTTTTCTATATTTAGCCAAGTAAAGTAGTGCTGCTTGTTTAGTAATTAGAAAAAGGTCATTTACTGCTGGGTAAAGGTTGGAGAGGTTATTGAAAAGCTCTAGTAGTTTCTTGGTAAAAAACTCATCAGGTAGGGCCTCAAATTTGTATATTTTGCGAAGGGCTGCTGTGATTGCACAGATGTATTTGTTGTCAGAGATTGGTAAATCAAAGGGTAGCATTTGGTAGATATTCTCAGGGATTTCTTGAGAGGTTGCCAGAAGAGGAGAGAGTTAATTTGATAGTGTATGACATATTGCTTTTCTTACGTCTTTGAAGCTTAGAGCAATGTTGATTTTTGCGAAGTTTGTGCAATAGAAAATTTTTTATATAATATTATGAAAGTTGGTTTTGATGAAGTCAATATTGGTGATGTAGTCAACTACAAGCTTTATTTTTAATTTTTTTGCAATTTGGCCAAGGTTGTTTTTGTTGATGAATTGGGTATAGTGGTAGTATTTTATTTTTCAAGTGCTATGTTGTATAGTGTTTCATATTCAGTTTGGTATTGAGGAGTAGTTGATTTATTGTAAGTAAAGGACTTGAAGAATGCTGTATCATAGTAGTTAAATTTGATATGAATTGCATCAGGTAGGTTGTAACAGGTAGGTTGAGTCAAGGTTTTATATTCAAGAAAATTAGTCAGTTTGTTTTCATCTTCTAGTGCCTCAAGTATTGTATCTATATTCTATTGGTTTGAGTCGAATAGTTGTTTGTTAAAAGATAGGGTGTTGACAACGTAAAAACTCCAAAGTGAAGATAGATTATTGGGCTGGGGTGCTTGATATTGTAATGTTAGTCTGGAGTACTTGGCTGTATAATCAGAGTGGGTTGGAAAGGGGTCGATTTAGGTCATCAAGATGCATAGGGTCGGTGCCCTGGTTTCTATAGATTTTTGTTTGTTTTTGGGTAGGGTATAAGGCAAGAGTGAGAAAATTTCCATTTAATCTGGGTCTTTTGAATTGGTTAAGTTCTGAGTTGGGTTTGTTGTGTTTATTTTAAGAAGGGCTGAGTTGGGGTTTGTGATGTCTGGATCAGGTAAATATGAGAACAGGTTTGTTTGTTTTGATTGCTAGTACTAGATCCTGGCAAGAGGTCATGTGACTATTGATGATTGGCAGACAGGGGTATGGCGATTTGCCCACTTTTTGTACAATTGTATGGATTGTAGCGAGTGTTGTGAGGCGAAATATGATTTTTAGTTTTCTTGGCAGGTGGTAGAAGTGGTGTTGGGGATAATTGTTGGTCGATTTGAGGGTTTTCTAGATCTGATATATTTTGTAAATTGGTTCGAGTATCAAAGAAGCTATTAGAAATAGATTAAAAAATTAACTTTTGTTGTAACATGTTGTTGGTAGGCTCCCAAAGGAGCCTTTGTTATAACAGAGGGTTTAGATGAGAGAGGCAGTTTGTTTTACTTTTGGGTATAGTTTTGGCTATATTGAATATAGTCTGAAGCACACTATACTACTAACACACTATGTTTTAGTTATTATTTAAAAGCTTGTGTACTATTAAAAAAACTGTTTGTTTACTTTGTTTACTATAGATTTACAGATTTACAGAAAAGAGTTTTTTTTTTTTTTTTTTTTGTTGTATAGTTTTTAATAGTAATAATTATTAATTCATCTAGCTAGTAAAAAAATTTGACAACAAAAAATAAAAAATATAAAATAAATATAAAACTAAGTACTCAAAAAGGTAAAATTTTTCAATAGTTTAATGTATCTTTAATAATGTTTTTTCTGTAAAAATAAAACCACATGTACTATTACTAATACTATTATGAATATGAATACAAATACAATTTATAATTATAATAGACCACTAGTACAATTATTTCAAAAACGCAAGAACTTTTTTTATTAAACCTAGGTGCCGCATAAAAAAGTGCGCGGATGATCCTCGATTTTGATTGGCTAACAGCCGGTGGTCTTCGAAATTTTGGCCCGCATTACAAAATTGTTTACTAAATTCCGGCCGGATTTGGCTTTTTAATTTTTTCATTATAAAAATAGAAATTTTTTAAAAATAAGCACGCATTATGGTAAAATTGGCCAGGAACAATTTTCACTTAATAGGCGGCTGCGATTAGGGTTGTAAAATTACCGTAATTTTACGTAATTTTGAGTAATTTTGAGTAGGTTTTGGTAAAACGGTTTCCATGTAATTAGTAAAAAGGGTTGAAATTCGCAAAATTACACAAAATTACATGAAAATGTATGATTGTAAAATGTAATTTTCAACCCTAGCTGCGATTTCATTAGTAAAATTCCGAGTTAATTTTTTGATCGTCGCTCTTAGCCAATCAGAATCAAGGATCATCCGCGCATTTTTTGTGCGGCACCTAGGTTTAGCAATTCTTGAATGTGTGCCAGGTTGGTGGCGCATTACCCAGCCACAATGATCTCTTTTATTTCAATATATACAGCGCATTCATAAAATTTCTTTTTCAACGAAAACTTCCACCATGTGTTTCATCAACTGTCCTGTACTTTGAATGTATTCTATTTTTTTTTGTGAATTGAAGACATAACAGAAATAATATAATTTTTA